CACGATAATGTCAAATTTCACTCAAGTTTAGTAACTTGTCAGAAACTGTAATAATTAAATGGGACATGCTATCGCACCAACCATACTCGCCAGATCGAGCATACTCGGATTATTACTTGTTCCGGTCTATACAAATTTTTTTTTAACTGTAAGACATTTACTTGAAATGACAATGTCAAAAATCACTTGGATTGGTTTTTTGTAAGCATCGATCAAAACTTTTATGAATGTGAAATCATGCTACTACCAGAAATGATGACAACAGGTATTTGACCAAAATTGTAGATATATAATTCAATAAAATATTTAATTATTATAAAAATATTGTTTTTTTCCACGGAAAAAAACGAACTTATTTTCTGAACAACCCAATGGTACAATAATAAAAAAAATTAAGGCATAGAAATTTAATACATACAAACAGGGCTGGGCTGTTTTTCAGTTGGCACACCTGTATGCCATACCAGCAAAAAAGTATTGGTAGCCAGTATGTAGCACAGGTATGTCAGTAAAATCAATACTATAATATAATATTATAATATAACATACAGTTTTAAGACATTAAAAACAATTTTTTCAGCCACCATAAATCTAAATAAAAAACCAACGTACCAGGAACCTGTTTCTGGTGTGCTTCTCGGTAAAGAAAAGTGTTACAAACGTTTTCGAACTTGTAAGTTCTTCTTCAGGTAACAGACGTCTAAGCGAATGCCATTCAAAATCAATTCAAAAAAGAACACCATTACGAATTCTATCGCATGTATTGATGGCACAGGTTCCTGGTACGTTGGTTTTTTATTTACTTTAACCCGGTGTAGTACATTGCCGATTGCACCATAAATCTATACTGACAGTAATATTTTAGAAAAAGAACACTTTATATGAATAATAAGATATAAAATTGAATAATAAGAAAAAATTATCTCTAACTTATTAAAACAAATACCAGTCTTTCATAACCTATAATGTACTGATGAAACTTTGAATTCAAAGTAAAAAATACTTAATAATAAAATTAATATTAAATAAAGTACAGTACTCATGCAAAAATTATTAACTTTATCTAATTAAATAATTTAATATAATTAATTATTTTAATTGGTGATTTCTACATTATACAGTAAATTTTTTTGAAAATAGTTTTCAGTGTAAAATTGCTATATGATTTATATTTAGTTTTCATTTCATTTACTAAAATCTAGTGCCTAAAACATGTAGTGATATAGCAAACGAAATAAAAAACCCTTCAGAAAAGCAATACTACAATACTTTTTATCCACAGAACTCCATTGAGTATTAGTTACATAAAAAACTTTTTTTTTTAATTGAAAGTCTTTTTGAATGATGGAATATGAAAAACACATATGATTTTTTTTTCTTCTCTTCAAGAATTTAAATTATTATTACAGATTTTTTTTTAAAAAAAGGCACTTATTTTTGCATTATTGGACATAATTTTTTCTCTAACTTTGCCAAATCCATGCCTTTCTTGATCATTAGCATTGAAAAGTCTGCTTCACGTTGCATTTCCAACCAGGTCAACACTGTTTCCAATGAATCAAATGCTTCATTGTGAATAGACATATTGAAACATTTGATTCATTAGAAGCTGGGGACTCATTAATAGTGATCTTCTATTTGTATTATAATAAATAAAACCTAACACTGGTGTTAATGATGAAATAACTAAATAGTGGCCCTACAGATCGCCAACAAAAAAAATCTTAATAATTTCTGGAATTAGTACTCTATGAAGTCAATTTCAGTTAACCGATTTTGTGCATAATTAATGCTCTATTGTATTTAGATGTAAACATTTCTTAAATTTATTCATTTCAATTTCTGATAGAACAAGTTTATACACAGACAATAACAACAAGGTATTGTTACATGGACTATTTTAATGGTATTAGTAGCAAACAAATTTGTTCTTATAAGGTTACTTACTATATGTGAATAAAAAAAAATCAATCAGAAAATGCTTGCAAAGCTTTTGAAGTTATTTTTTTCAATAATAGGAGGTCTGTTGAACTGCTATATATGCAATTAAAAGAAAGTGGAGATTTGCCAAAAGTACATCATTGTAACAACAGCATCCAAAACCAAAATCCAGCACACAAAATAACAGAGCTAACATTTTTGCCTGTGTTAAATGGGCATCATCAAGCTATATGATCCCACAGATGTTAAAACAATGGGGATTGCTGTACATGTATTAAGAGGGGAGGTGATACAGCCATTAACTTTTGCAATGTGGATTCCTTCTCCATCATGTGGAAGATGTTCTACAAACTGTGAACATTCTATCCTCTCACCCTCCCTCTCTTTTTTCTTACATCACCTCCCCTCTTGTACGCATATTCTCCATTGTTTTAACAGTTGTGGAATCATTTAGCTTGACGATGCACATTTAACATGGAGAAAACGTTAGCTCCGTTATTTTGTATGCCGGATTTCAGTTTCAGACACTGTTGTTATAAGTTTACCCAGTTTTTGAGTGCTTGTTTTGTACATCATTGTGCACAACAGAGAAAGGCAAAGTTTAAAAGCAGTTCAAAAACTATACACTATAATTAATATATTGTCTCTTAAGTTAAATAAACTGTATAAAAAGTATGACAAAAAAAAATGCCATTTTATATTTTCACAATCAAACCTCTTAAGAACGGACACCGAGGGGAATATTAAAAATGTCCGTTGTTTGTAGGTTATTTAGTATTCGCACGCATTCTGGGAAATAAATGAATGCGAAATAACCTCCGAACGACGACCAAATAAGAAACATGTGGCCGCGGCTAGGTGGTTCGACCGTTTATAGCTATTTTATAGTTTTATACTTAATTGATATTAACATTAATTTCAATAAATAAAATTGATTAAATGACATTTAAAGTGTAAAAAGTATACGGTAATTTATTTTAAAAAAATAATAATAAAAATTGGTCATTTGCTGTAAAGTAATATGATATATTTTTAAATTATCCAAGTATCTCGGCCTCATCATCGATGAAACTTCAAATAAATCGATATTTGTAAAGAGTTTATAGCAGTCATTTTGTTTTTTTTACATCCAATAAATTACTCAATTTACCAAGAAACTTAATGTGATTTTTTTANATTAATAAAATAAACAATAAAATAAAATTTATTTATACAGCTACAAAAGTATGATTTAAATATATATAAATTAGCTAATTAAAATAGTTTATCAAAAGTGAAGTAAAGTATAAATTAAATGTATATTTTGTTTTCTATTCCAGAAAAAAATCTATCCAAAATCTATATATTTAATCCATAAAGTTGTATATACCTACACACATATTTATATCATTAATTCTTAATGTTTCATTTACATACTTGCATAAAAAACAAACTTTCATTTGTATTCCATTAAAACTAATTACGTACATAATGTCGGTATCATAATTAACAAAAGAGAGCAAATCTGAGTATACTTGACATTATGGGATAAAGCTACTTTAAAGCATTTTATATATTTAGCTTTATAAATATATTCCTTATTTAAAAATATATTTTATTGGTTAGAATAAATGCAAAAAGTAATATAAAAATAATATCACTATGCTATACAAGATCTTATAGTAAATCCATTTCAATTTTTTCTCCTACAAAATTTCTTAAGAGTGGATATAGCTTATTAGGTCACATCATTAGTGCCAAAGCACCGTTATTACTCGTTAAAAAAATTAAAATTTTTTCAGCCGATTTGTACTATTTAATTATTTTCTTCAACAATTTGTTTTATCAAATATATTTTATCGATAAAATGACTAGTTTTTTATATAGAACTATAGTTCTATATAAAAATGATATTCTAAGTTCTTAACTGATTAAGTATTTTTTTTTTATTAAAAATATTTATACTGTTTAACTTAGCAAACAACTTTTTATTAATTGGTTTAAAGCAACAACCATAATTTTGTTTCTGTTAACTAGGTTATGAAATAGAATTAGATTATAAGAAAACAATGCAATGGCTGGACGGCCAAGCAGTTAAGGTATCGGCTTACTGTTCCGAAAGACCAGAATCAAATCCAGGCAGATCAAAAAACACTAGGCATTTTTCTGGGGTTGTCCTTTCCGGATACGTTGCGCTCCACCTCTCGCTACTAGGCCGCCCTATCGCGGGCCCAGCCAAATCCGTAAGTGGCCTCGATACAGTAGAAAAATCCCACGTTCACAGAGCAGAGTAAAAGACAAGGCAAAAAACAAGCAATGTTCGACGGCTTCGAAGACTCGACAGTTCCGAAGCCATCGAGTATTTTTCTGCCGAATGCCCTCTACGGTAGCGCTCTTTTGGAACACGTTTGGCGTTTCGACGTCACATTTGGCAGCATCTTTCATTTACGCTACCTATCACTACCCGAAACCGACTAACGAGGTTTTTCGTTCCAACGCGACGTCGCTCGTCCTTCGGCAGATCCGGGCCGTTACGTAACGGCTACCGATTCGCTCGGTCGCAACCGTCGAGTCTGCCGAATGTGGCCAACGCGACACACGGACAATCTGCAAAGAGGGGTGCCCACCGGAAGGACTTTCTACCTAAGCCCTACTTAAGCAAAGAAAATGCAGAAAACGGCAAGAACCTCGCAACCGACCGCCGGCGTTCGGCGGTTTTATCAACTCCGCCACCGGAGATCCAGATTACGCTCGAACACCCGAAATATCTTCAAATCCGATGAAATTTTGTCAAATGTCTTATTGGTTTAATTACTTAATGTGTGTGATTTTTTAAAATGAAGTGTCTACGATGTATTTACAACCAGACTCTTTACTGAGCTGTAAACATTGTATTACTTTAATGAACTCTCTTAACGAGCAATTAATTATATATATTAATTAATTTACTCACACTGACCACTTATGTGATCAATACGAGTAAAATATTAATTAAGAACGACTTTAACGAATTATTTTACTGCACGATCCAAGCAACGTGCTTGTTTAACAATAAAATGCATTTAATAATGAATTCTTACTAAAGTTTCGACTTCGTCTGTTTCTAAGTCTTCCATCTTCACCTCATCACACGACCTCTGCCGATCGATAGGTTACGAAGACGATTATCCGCCGCAATGGATCCCAATTAATAAATTTTATGCGGCCGACGTCCAATTTATGATAACGAATAACGCGCGATGACAATCGGAAAGCGAATCGCCATCCGACATCAGAAAAACTGTTTATATATTTAGTAAATTAGCACTTATGCAATGCTATTAAGTTACCCAGCAGGGGGCGCTGTTATGACAGAATATAGCGAAAGACGCCATTTGCCTGGATGTGGCCGTTCTATTTTATTTGCGCGAGGGAAAAAAGCGTTAAAATTGTGGTGACCAGACCCTAAACACCGGAGTTCGATCGGGGGTTCGCGCCTCACTCGGACGAGCTGGCAGCAGGAGTTTTTCCGGGTTTTCCTCTTTGCCAATGACGCCTGAATAGGGGCCAGCTTCCCTTCCAAGTCCTCCCGGAAGGCATTCTGTCTCACTTTCTCGCGGGGGTCGTCTCCTATAAGGCCAGATTTGGTTGCTTTGTGACCTCTCTCTTATCTTCCTCGGATTGGTCGTCTTCGATAAGACCACCTCTTCGGTCGCTGTGCGACCAACCACGCTGTTCCTTCCTGAGTGATAAGCGAAGAGCAATAACACTCCACTATCGTCGATGAGATGAGATGAGATGAGAAGCGTTAAAATTCACGTTTTAGAATCATTAAAAAGAAATACTTTAAGTTTAATGTCTTTACGAACGAATAAATAATGTTTTTTTATTTTTTAAATTTAATTTTTCTCAAGTCATTTTGAGGAATGCCCGCTCGTTCGAATTCTTGTCTTTTTGAAGGATTTTGGTTTACGGTCTTTTAGAAATTTTCATTTTGGTTTGGTCCGAATACATCGGGCCTCATCCTTCGCCTCGTTACGAAGTTTATCCGATTCATTATAAGCACGAAAGAGGCCTTTTTAGTGTCCGCAGCGCGAAAAATAATTTTCATTATATAGATAAAATTTGCGTTCTTTCTCGTTAAATAGATTAAATCTAAAATAAACGCGTAACCAATCTTTTTGTAATAATTTGAAGGTGTTTTTTTAATAAATTTCATTTATATTTTTCAATTCGTATATATTCACATAATTGATTTCATTCCAATATAGGAGTATCAAAAAAGAAACATTGAACTAGAAAAACCTGCAAAAAATATTAAGGCAATCATTTTAGGTATAACAATACATACAAATTCATTGTGAAATAAGCAAAAGTTAAAATTTATTGACTCGAAATTTACTTCAGGCGTTCGGAAAATATGGCATCGGCAGTGTAACTCGTTTGATCATTTCTGCAAAGAACAAAGGAATATTTTAAAATAAAAAGTTATTTCTATGCACAGAAATCTTTCCAGGTCTTAGAAAATTATCAATTTTATTGAAGTTTTCTTACTGATATACTGATCCCGCTGAACACTTGTAATTTGTGGTGTCGGAATTAGCTTTGGTCCATCCTTTGCATCCCGTTTTCCAATGCTCCAAAGCTTTTTCGCCCCTCGGACCAAGATAACAATCACTCGCCATGTGATTCGTAAGGGAAATCTTTAACTAGGAAGAAAATTTTATTTTTGAAAATTATAAAGCTATCAGTTAACACTGACCACGAAGAAATTTCTGAATTTGAAACTCTAAGATCGCAACACGAAACTATGAAGAGTGCTCGTGTTTGAAACTCGAACATCAAGTATAAAATAATGACTGGAAGAAAAGCTTTTGTTTCAAAATTATGGGGGGGGAGAAACTGAAATAAGTATCCTTATGTTTGAGATTTGAAAACTAAGCATAAAACCCAGAATTGAAATACCAAATAATCGTATAGAAGCGAAAACGTGAATACCTTGTTTTGTATAACGGGTTCTTCGTCATATTTTTCATCGAAATTATCATTACAATTATTTATATTTTTACACCTGTTGAAACAATATAATTTTAAAAAATATTATAATCATTTTTGAAAACTGTAACAAAAACACTATAAAAATCTTTACTCGCTATTCCACGTATAAGATGATTCTTTATCCGAATCTTCAAAAAATATTGCCTGAAAATATTGCTTATAAATACTTACAAACATTCGAGCATATTTATTTATTATTTGACCATACACATATAAAATTATCTACAAATTCAGCCCCGATTTCCAGCATATTATAATCTTAAATAATTACCTCTGAATTTTCAAAATACACACTTTCTTTACTGTTCAAAAATTGATTTTTTCTGTTTCTCTTTCTTCGTTTTTCTGAAATTAAGGAAAATATCAATGTAGACTATTAAAACGAAACCTTACAAAATTACTTTATTATTTCTACATACCATCTTTAGGATTTGATAAGTCCATGAACTGTGAATCTGTTTCTGTCGAACAGTTTAAAAACGTCGCATCTTTAGAGAATTCATCGCGATTCGAAGGACTAGAAACTGAAGATTTATGACTGAAAAATAGAGAAGACTCACGAGACAACTGAAAATAAAAGAATTCGTCAACATACAATGCAATAATTTAAGATTTCTGATAGAAACCATAATAAAAAACAATTTAAAGATTAACGTAGGAAATTCTAATATTTGAAAGTAAGACGACTTACTTTTGTTGTTAAATAATATATTAAATTCCTTTTACTTACATGTTTAATTGTATCTAAAGACCCTTCGTACGACTTATTTCTCAACCGATTGTCAATAGATCCTAAAATGACATCGTCAATTTATCCATCAGGTGAACAAATATTAACAAACAACCTACACAAGTATAGAACTACCTTTGTGATCAGTCGAGTACTCGTAGAAATTTTCTTTGCGTTTTGTAGTATTCGTTTCCTGACAATTAAATTTTTTTAAAAAAATTATATAATTTTAGATGAAATGGTAAATTTATATAATCGTGGATGAATATGAAAATATTTCATATCAAAACTTATGAGAAATTTACAACTGTAGTTTAAAATGACTCAAAAATCATTAAAATCAAATTACGCTTTTACAAAATAACCAATTTTTTTTCTATAAAATACTTTTTGCAAATAGCTTTTAAAAGCTGAAAACATTTATTATATAAAATTTTCTACCTAGATTTTAATAAATTTTGGCGATTTTGAGTGTGTTTCCTTATTAGCCCGTTAATTTGTTTCTTATTGTTCGAAGGCTCCCACCAGTTTCCCAAATAGATAAAAACCACTGAAAATTGATATTTGGTTATAGGTTCGCGTAGCTAGCCACGGAATTTATCTGGATTATTTTATGTATCATTTAGCCAAAATAGAAGGAGCGAGCGGTCAGGGTGGCAGTCTTGCTCTCTGGGAAATCCGGCTTCGAATTCGCACGGGTCGAAAAAATCCCCAGGAATTTTTGCGGTGTTCAGACCGGATACGTTGGCCCCTTCCCTCACCACTCGGTCGCCCCATTGTGGGCCTGGCCGAACCCATAATAGCCTTGCTAAAAAAAGAGGCCCACTTAGTCCCCACAGGGCGAAAAGAGTTTAAAAAATTACAAAATAGAGGCGAGTTTTCCCACACAAAATGGCCTTTATTTTGGCTAATAGCTTTATCGAGCTTATCTTGGCCGAACCCACGATAAGCTTGATTTTAAAAAAGGCTCTTAATTAACATTAGTTCCCACAGGGCGAAAGAGTAAAGAAAAAAATCAACCTAGACGTTAAGCGGATTTAAATGTTTTCTAATTACTACAGTTTCTCATTATTAAATATTCCCAGCTCACTTATAAAATCAACTTGTAAACATACCATTTTTTGCCTACAACGTATTCAATGTTTTAACTTCGAATAATTGTTCAAAATCAACGATTAAGAAGTCACAATAACTATTCGAATATTTTCTTTGTCACGCGAACTATTTAAAATTTAAACTGGTAGAATGAGAATTTTTTATTTATAATTATATTTAGTGAAATCTATTATTTATTTTCCATTTTGTTTCAGCTGTCTTGAGTTTTTGGAGTTAAGTTATATCTCCACAGACCACCTATAAGTAATAGACTGGCAAAGTAGGTATTCCTTGAAGTCGCCATTGTCCTTGGCGGCCATCGCTATGACAGGCAAAAAGCTGCATGTCCCGCTTATATAAACCGAGCAATTTATTTGTTGTTTTTTCGTTCCAAAACTGCGGGAATACTTGCTTTTATAAGTATTTGTATTTCAATGTATTATTGCTATTATAGCTTATGTTACTGAAAGGTGTTTATGTCAAATCGTCAGAATGGTTTATTAATCACTGTCACAAGGTTTATTTTTAAATTCCTGTTTTTCTGCTAAAGCAAATAATTCAAATTATATGCTGTAATCTATAATGAGGATGTTTGTTTGTTCGTTCGCTATGCACAACTAGGCCGTTCGACCAATTGCTACGAAACTCAACAGTTACGTTCCAATACTTGTAATTTAGATCGTGTCTTAGATACTACCTCAAATTATCGATTGGATTTCTATATATCGATTAATTTCTGTCAACATTCGATTGCTGGCTTTACATGTAGCTCCATCTGTTGGGAAAAATTTAACAAATTAATTAAATATACTCTTACAAAAATTATATATATTATATTCACTGAATTACTGAGACAGCACTTGCCTGCTTGGAGTGTGTTTTGCCCCCGTAAATCATACTTTTCCTCTTAGCGATAGAATCGTGCCGGTTATATATCTAACTCCGGGGAAAAATTTTTGAATCGAAATAACGCGAATTTCGATACAAATCGGAAGTTCGTATATAGTTAATCTGGTCCCCTTTCTCTTACGATTTCCATGTCTGGTCCCGAATTTCACCTATCTAACTTCATTCTCGAGATTACGGAAGGACACGGACGACGGACAACAATGATAATTTATAGGTCTACTGTCTACTATTTTTTAAAAATTGCAGCCCAATAAATACCCTCCAATAACTGAGTCGATAAAACCACCGAACACTGGTAGTCTGTCGTGGGTTAGCGCGTGACCAACGGACTGGCCACGTGGAGTTTGGGTGGGTTTTCTTCGCGTTAGTAACACTTAAATTGAGGCAGCTTTAGTTTTGCCGGAATGCATCCTCCTTGGCAGATCGCTGACGCGTCGCGTTATTGTAACCAAATAAAGCAAACCAATTCTAATGGTTTTTCTATAAACGCGATATTTACGAGGACGCGCGTAATTACCAGGAAATCTGGACATCCCGCCCCTCCTTTGATTTTATCTCCCCTTATTAACTCATAAACCCATTGCCCTAAACTTCTTTTACCGATACTGCTTAAGACGGTCTAACATTCGGCCAAATTAATGTGCGCGCAACGATTTTAAGGCACAAAGTAAAGCCGGAAGTCTTTGCCGATGTTGATTTTTCCTATTTATATCACGGCGACATTGATTTTTTATTAAANCCTTAGTGATAAAAAAAAATGGCACCTCGAATGGGCTTCAGTCTTGTTTGTCCGACTTTCCCTCGACCATGGATTCGCCAAACTCAACCCTCTTCGTGTCGACAGGATACAGCCTTAAAATACAATTCATATTTAGAGATATTTGAAAATTTACATATTATACCCAATTGTAAAGCAAAACTTGACTCACCAACGTTGATATAAATAAACGAGAAAGACGATGTCGTCTCTGAAACATGCCACCCTGTGAGCTATTGGCATGGTGATGATGAATGCAAACAGGTCGTCGATAAATGTGTTAAATGCCTAAAGAAAGTTTGCATTTTTAGCATAATATTGTCATTAACTCTGACAAATAAGACAATTCTTCCTCACCTTATACATAAAGGATCTCCAAGGGAGATGGGCAACAGATTTTAACTTATAATTAACAAAGAGTTGGGGAAGCATGAACAAGAAACCAAATGCATAAACACCTACAAAGTAATTAATAAGGATTTATAAATGCTTATAATGAAAAAATTATATATAAATAGACGTATGTACTGTACATACCATTTACTAAGCTATGTATGCACCATGAGTACCAGCTGAAATGCAAAAATAAACTTTTATCATAAAGCATTCTAAAAGTCATTTAATGAAATGGATACAATACACACACCTTTTTTGTGGAACATAAAACAGGGAATATACAGCACCTCCAAGGCAGAGAGGATATAGAAGATATGATAAATATTTCATGCTCTAAAATGAAAATAATATTGTTATAATTAATTTCGTTAGTCTGTCTATAGAAAAAATTGACTTGAGATCATTATCAAGTGTGATGTGGGTTTGGTTAAACCAATCAGCACATTCCCTAATGATATCAATGCCTTGTTAAAAGTCAATGGTGTGTGGGTTTGGGATGAAAAGTGACAATGCCCTTTTATTATCAACAAAACCATTTGTTTGAAGTAAACTTCTTAAAAGCTTCACATCTGAATACATGGAGGGAGAGAGAAAAAAATGACAAATTGTCTCATGTGTACAGAGTGGTCAACCAATAAGTACTGTTTGCAATAATTTTAGTTCGGACTAATTATTATCCTGTTTGTTGATTTGTGTCATGACTAAAAATTTCCTATTGCTCTACACCCAAATCTTATGACTTGAATGAAGTGACGTTTCCAATCTGTTCTTTTACATGGATTGAGTTTTACGAAATTAAATCAATCTAAGTGAAGATTTTACGATTATGTGAACAATCCGAATTTAGGAGATTAGTTCCTAGTTGTCAGGAAGAAAAGCAATGCATTGCTATTATCTTGTGAGGAAATCTTAATGATAATGGCAGGTGTCATCCAAAAGGATATTAATCTTACACAAGAGTAACAGAATTAAAGAATGAAACAAAGTAGTAGGTCAGTTAAGAATTTTGAATCCTCACAAAGATTAAAAGTTAAAGTTACATTCAAATAAAAATTTTAACAGTTAACAAAATTGGATGAAAAGAAATATAAATTAAGAAATCTGCCAACACTCCATAGGTTTTAAGGCAAGTGTTGGAATAATAATAACTGATAAATCATCTGTGATATCCCATTTTAATCAGAGAATAACAAAGTTTGAACTAAAGAAATAACCAAAACTAATGCCAACCACAAACTGGTTTTGTACAACTGAACAAAGCTCTCATTTGATTTGGAAGATAGTAGTGACAGCAATAACATGCAGTTATGGAGAAGACAAATATCACACATGTCCATCTGATGATATACAATAATACACTGAACGTCCATCTCTCTGCCAAGTAAGATAGCTTACAAATAAAATTACAAATATATTGTATGCATTTTGGCTTAATCTATAGGCAAGATCCACTAAAACTACAAAAACTTGTTGGCTTATCAGTTTTCAGTTGTTTCATCTTAAACTGATCATTCTGTAAGCATTAATATTTCTATACAGTATCAAACTTCTTTTAGAAAATAAAAATACGAAAACTTCTGACATTTAAACTGTAAAAAATATTCTCGTATAATGTAAATTAATGATATGAAATTCATGTATTTAATAAAAATAATCAAAAATTTGAACCACAAACATAATTTACTTTTATATAATCAACTCATTTTACATTTCCTACTTATTTGATAGTATTTAAATATTTGTTGGTCAACCAGAGCACACAAAGACAAAATGAAAAATGCATGTTTTACCCTATAAAATCCCAAGTTATAGAAATTGCATACATTGCATGATTTATAAGTCATATAAAGTTAGCCATTAATATTTTGCCAATAGTTGTGGTATAAGTTCAAGATAAATGTGACACTGTGCTTTTGTTACTTTCATATTTTTTCCAAGACTATTGTTCTGAATGAGTTGTGTCTTAATTGGCAAATTACTGGCATTCTGTTCAAATGCATGTGTTATCATGCTAATAAAATGTCTATCATTTCAATTGTCTTCAGATAGTCAAGTCTATAGACAATAAATCATTACAAAGTTTATTCAAATTAAAATTCAGTTATAAATCATAAGACTAGTGAAACTTCACATCTTTTTCTTCCATATTGGGACTATCTAAATTTTAAATCAGAGACCAAGATTTTCTTAAAAAAACAGCTACTTTTAAAAAACAAGTGGCTTGATTGCTATGTTGGAAATCTGAAGATGGATTAGGAAAAATTTAATCCAAAATGCATTGCTGTTTATAAAGGAAAAAATAAAACTGCTGTGTTTGAATCAACTATTATTTCTAAACTTATAAATTTTAGAGTAAAAGTGTCTTATCAATTTGTCCCCCTGTACACCTCAGGATTTCATAATGTAGTTTGAGTAAGGTTACTGCAGAGTCCTCCTTGGACTACACTATACAATTCTGAGATGTAAAAAGATGACAAACAATGAAGACACTTTTACTCTCAAGTTCAGAAGTAACACTAATTATAATCATAGTCCGGGAGTTTTAATTATTTTATAATTTTAGTTTGAATTTAAAAAATTTTTTTAAAAAATCTATTATAACTCTTGTTTTATTGAATTTTTAACTTGTCTCATAATTTGCACATACAGGAGCTCCCTTATTTACAAATGTTCAACTTATGAACTTTCAGACATATGAATAATTCGACCATATGTCAAAAATTTAAATTTCACACAGATTCTGAAGTTCTCTTGCTGGTAGGGGCTGGTGTTGAAGTAAGCCTTTAACCAGTAATAAATAATAAATTTTAAAAAAATAATTAATGTGAACTTATTTCTATTTTGCATCATCATTTTTCATTTTTGTGCAAATTCCAATGCTCCATCACCGAGAGGTGACATTGTAGTCAATAGCACTGGAGTAACAGCATTTTTCCTATTTGCAATTTTTTAAAGTTTTATGATTAGTGCTTCAAACATGCATCCAAAACGTAATAGTAAATCTAACAGTGGAGATAAATGCAAGAAGTGTCGCTCTATTTCCATTGATGAGTTCTGCTATCTTTGCCCATGGAACGTTGGTCCATTTGGCAAGCAAACAATCTTAAAGTTCTCCACAGGAAGCGTTTTTCATAAATGTCACCACACTGCACCATCCATCAGATTCCAGACTTGCTCAATAAGATTTGTCAGGTGACTGACTGGTTTGTAAAAGTTTGCAGATTGTGCTGCCAGCAATTCAATGTCTTTTCAGCAGTGTGACGAGGAGCTCCATCATTTGTAAACAGACTGGAAGTTCAATATGGCAATGTATTTTTCAAAGTTAATTTTGAATCCTGTGTTTGCTGACATTCAGGGTGTCTACAGACTTATGAATTGTCTCTGTGCATTAAACTATTTTTTTAATTCATTTCATAGTTTCAAATCACATCTTGGACACAATTGTTTACATTTACTGGGGATTACTGTTCACAGAGTACACAATGGTCATGATAATGTATATTATACTTACTCAGAATTAAAAATAACCACTAATGAAAGAAATGAAAACTTGAATCTTACGCAATGCTTTCGTTATTATAAGAATTTATTTTTATAAACTAACAAGTAATATTTATTTATCTTTAAGCTAAAGTAAATATGTTTTTCCCCACTTAAATAAAAAAAAAACTAACTTACTTGAGAATCATACATTGCAGTTTCTTTTTCATCATTGCTCGTACTTCCAAACTGTAATTCACAAAATCGAATTCAGTAATAGTTAATTTTTTAATATAGAAACTAACAATAAATTCATACGCTTATTTTTGGTTTCCATCCAATCCAAGAAATATTCATTTTTGATGCTTTAGTAACTTTCCATAACTATAACAAAATTTATTATATTAATAATGAAATTACATTATAGTTTATGTTATCTGAAGGATTACCTCAATGACAGCTGCAATTCCCATAGGAATTAAAACCAGCAAACTAGTTTCTTCATCTAAAAGATATAAAAACACTATAGCTTGACTGACGCATCTCCAAATGAGAGTTCGGTAAGATAAACCGACCATGTTGGTCCGCTTCCTCCAGAAACTGATGTCGTTTTTAAATGCCAAGAAGTCAAAAAGCAACTGAAAAATTTATATAATAAATGATATCTAATTCACTGTATATATATAATATATTCATATTTTGTACAGATAAAAATCTGCTCATTCTATAAATTATAATGATCTTGGCTTAAAACTGGACTATTCTCTATGCAATTTTCATTAATCATTTTTTAATTTTATTGTACTGATGTTGTATTGTTTTTATTGCTACTGACAATAGACTTTGCTTCATACAAAAGCAAAAACAAACTATTGTTTTTTGCCAAAAATGTGTAAAATAAAAAGAAGTCAGTTTTGTTGCCTTCAAAGTGATCCTCTCCTGGAACTATGTACCAAATTCAGCATTTCTATTATGAAAAGGACACTTCCTGAATGATTCTTTTGGGATGATGATCAGCTCCACTAGCAAATTTTCCTTAATAGAATCAATGGGTTCAAAATGGTAAAATTTGAGAGCAGATTTTAATTTTAGAAACAAAAAGAAGCCTGCTGGGGTTTAGTCCAATGAATTTGAAGGTTGAAGAACCAAGTGGCATCAAGCTCTAGGCCAAAAACTGTTATTAGTAGGATTGTGTGGATGAGAGCATTGTCATGATGCTGTTCTCTCCAAGCAGTCAGTCTTTTCTTCCTCACTGCTTCACAAAGACGTTTCAACACCTCCAGATGGTATTCCTTATTTACTGTCTTTCCTTCTGGAAAAAATTCCTGTTGAATGACACCATCAAAATCAAACAAAACAGCAAGCAAGACCTACACATTCAACTGAACTTGTTGCACCTTTTTGGATTGTGGTAAAGTTTTTCCCACTCACTGTAATGACTGACATTTTGTTTCCACATCATACCCATAGACCAATATCTCATCCCCAGTAATGATATTGTTCATGAAATTTTCAGTATCAAATATTCAATCAAAATTTAACTGTTTGTTTAAAAATAAACGACACATCCATCTCATTAGTAAGCACACTTGCTTTTGTCATAATAAATGTTAATGTGGTAAAATTTTAATTATAACAAAAAATTGTTTGGAATTAAATTTCTCTGATTTATTATCAGTTAAGGTTTAGTTTATATATTTATTTTATGTATAGTACCTATGTATTTATATACCCAGCATCGCATAAAATGTTTTTGTGCAAAAAAAGGGTCAGAAATAGAAAAATGTTTAAGAAGTCCTGATCCAAAGCAATCATATCAAAATAAATTAAAATTACAAAATTAATGAATAATAAAATGTCTTAAATTTTTAAAAACTTACATGAAAAGCAGAAACAAATATGGTTAAAAGTAATAGGTAGATACTAGTATCAAAAAATATTCCTTTAATCTCGTCGGTATCCTTATCAGTGAAACCTGTATAATAATAAACATTTTAAGTTTACAAGTTTAGAGAAATACAAATTAAATGGTCTTGTCATAATAGCATATTGCTGTGTGTGTTAAAGCACATGAAAAGCAAGTCCTCAACTTTTAGACAACATTAACCTTAAACTGCTTTTCACATAACAAATTTCCACCTGTACATTTTAAAGTTGACAAACAAAAATTTCATATTATTACACAATAATGCTTTATATCTGTTTTGATTTCAGTAGCATCAAAATCACTTATGAAAATTAATTTCTGTTGTCTGTTTAATCTAATTTTAAAACTTTAAATATGCTTTAAGCATTGTAACATATTCATTGTATAAAAAACCAAAACTTTCCTATCGTAATAAGAGATTTCATCATTTTTCTTTTTTACTTTCTGAGAACAGAAACCTCTTCATAACATGCAATATGGTTTTTGACTTTTCAAGATTTGACTTTCATACACATTTTTAGAAATAAATTACATCCAAAAGTCAGGGAGTGCCATAAGCTTATGCTTGTATGTATATAAATATGTATTTATAGATAAGTAAATAAAGAAGACTGAATTAAACTGGCATTTCATATTAAGAAATTATGTATTTTAATAAAAAAGAACAAAAACAGTACCCATTTTTAGTAATGAATCCATTGCATGTTCAACAATAACCATTAGTCGCAATCTCCCAATAGTAATTGGAGTGAAGGCAATAGTGAGAGGCATCACAGATTGGCTACTGTTAATAGGCTAAAAAAAAAAAAAAAAAAACATAAATCAATATACTTTGATACTTTATTTATTAAATAGTTCGCATCTGTAGATTGATAACAATACTTACCACTAGATCCTTTAATTTGTAACTCAATTTGCTGATGTGAATGATTGGACAATATTGCTTATTTCCAGTAATTCTACAAAATAAAACGGCTGTATATTTTTTACATTTTATTATAAAATCATAATTTTGTAAGAGTCTTACTTTAAATAATTAGCAATCTCCCCTGGAATCGAGCGCAAAAAAAGCGGTATGGGTTCCGACATCATGTGAAGAGTTAGATGCGATTTCCAATGAGAAATTGGCTTTACTCGAGACTTCTTCTTCTTCGATTTTTTCTGAGATATAATGCCATAATATTAAAATAACAATATTAATTTATCTATATGTAAAACTTCAGTAATTAAATTTACTTTCTCATCTTCAGACTTCTTCAACAAACTAAACACTTCTGCTTGTTGAATTTGAAATTCTGTCAGAGATCCTGTTCCATGAATGCTTTTGGCATGATTCATTATGGAATTCAGATCCAGTAGTTTCCTAGTGGTCTGAAGAGGAATCATGTACACGTGCAGATATAAACTGCCATTATTCAATGTTTTTGATGGCAAGGTGACATTTAATTCTCTAATTAAATAAAATTTATTATCTTATGTAAATTATCCAAAATTATAAAGAACAGTATGAGAATACTTACATTTCTTTGTTTTGTGAAATATCAAAATTATTATTAGACCAAACTGACACCAAATCAGATGAAAAATAAGCAATGGATTGAGGAGAAGTACACAGAAAGATCTGAAATAAATATTTTATATTCATAAATATAGAAATTAAATCATTTTAAAATTATTTTTAAGCTATAATTCAATTATTCATTCTAAAACATCTAGAGCAGTGGTTCTCCACCTTTTTTGGAATCTTGGCACATTCTTACAATCACATAAAGACCACAGCAAACTTTGTTATTAAATATACTGGTCCATTACAATCAACCAATCCATTATCCACAGTATTACTTTCAGTCATAGTCAAAATATCAAAACTTTGATATGAATAATGATCCTCATGGGTAGCCATTCTAGCAGGTATTTCTCAAGACTTTCATTCAGTTCTCCGGTTATCTTTTACTTATTTAGATACACTGTCCCTCCTCCTTTCTATCAAGCCTGTGATAATAGGTACTAACACAATGATGCAATTGGCCATTTTTGTTTTTAACTAACACTGCATATCTGAACATGACTGTACCACATAATCAGTAGCATAACAAGAGTCACTGGTCCAGTACAAGAATTACTTATGGAATAATATAGTACTGCATCACCTGCAGACTCAGCTGATAATTAAATCAAATAAATAATTTTTTTATCAATTAACATAACTTATGTTAAATTAATTAGTCTAAATTTTGCAAATGAAAATTTTATTTCATCTTCTGCATTTTTAACATATTTTTGCAGAAAAACATGAAATAACATTTTTTTTTTAACTGCAACAACAATCTATTTATTATACAAAGAAAATCTCATATCTGTAATATACATCTGGAATGTTACAATCTAATATTTTCAATTGATGGCCTTTACAAATCTCCAGCAAACATTTTTGCTTCTCCATGTCTAACAAAATCCACTGGATGACAAACTATTCCTCTCTAGATCCAAGATAATATATATAAACAATTATTAAAGTTTAAATTAATTTATTTAAACAGCAATATAAACCGTTCGCCCATATATATATTTATAGTTGCCTTCTTCGTCAAAATTTAAAATTTCTTCACGACAACCGAAATTATAAAACATTTTGTTGCAAAATAAGCTATTCTTTATTGATAAGAAAGGAATGACTAGATGATTTTCTAATGATTCGAGGACTAGTTCTTCTATCTCTTCTTTTTTTATAAACAAAGTTATAACTTTTATTATAAGGAATGTTACCTTTTGAAGATGGTATTAAATTACAATATCACAGAAATTATATTTAATTATCCTGTTTAAAACATTTTTTATATACATTTAAATCTTTTGCTCTACTTTAAAAGCTTTTGCGGACATTGTAGAATTTTATAATTTGCTTTGTGTCATTTGCTTAATGTCTAATGTGCAATAGGCATAATGTCCAAATCAAAATAAACAATAAAAATTCTTTTCCCTAATGCAAAATAAAATAAAATTCACTAAAAAATTTAAATTTATAACAACTTTNTTGTCTTTTTGAAGGATTTTGGTTTACGGTCTTTTAGAAATTTTCATTTTGGTTTGGTCCGAATACATCGGGCCTCATCCTTCGCCTCGTTACGAAGTTTATCCGATTCATTATAAGCACGAAAGAGGCCTTTTTAGTGTCCGCAGCGCGAAAAATAATTTTCATTATATAGATAAAATTTGCGTTCTTTCTCGTTAAATAGATTAAATCTAAAATAAACGCGTAACCAATCTTTTTGTAATAATTTGAAGGTGTTTTTTTTAATAAATTTCATTTATATTTTTCAATTCGTATATATTCACACAATTGATTTCATTCCAATATAGGAGTATCAAAAAAGAAACATTGAACTAGAAAAACCTGCAAAAAATATTAAGGCAATCATTTTAGGTATATCAATACATACAAATTCATTGTGAAATAAGCAAAAGTTAAAATTTATTGACTCGAAATTTACTTCAGGCGTTCGGAAAATATGGCATCGGCAGTGTAACTCGTTTGATCATTTCTGCAAAGAACAAAGGAATATTTTAAAATAAAAAGTTATTTCTATGCACAGAAATCTTTCCAGGTCTTAGAAAATTATCAATTTTATTGAAGTTTTCTTACTGATATACTGATCCCGCTGAACACTTGTAATTTGTGGTGTCGGAATTAGCTTTGGTCCATCCTTTGCATCCCGTTTTCCAATGCTCCAAAGCTTTTTCGCCCCTCGGACCAAGATAACAATCACTCGCCATGTGATTCGTAAGGGAAATCTTTAACTAGGAAGAAAATTTTATTTTTGAAAATTATAAAGCTATCAGTTAACACTGACCACGAAGAAATTTCTGAATTTGAAACTCTAAGATCGCAACACGAAACTATGAAGAGTGCTCGTGTTTGAAACTCGAACATCAAGTATAAAATAATGACTGGAAGAAAACCTTTTGTTTCAAAATTATGGGGGGGGAGAAACTGAAATAAGTATCCTTATGTTTGAGATTTGAAAACTAAGCATAAAACCCAGAATTGAAATACCAAATAATCGTATAGAAGCGAAAACGTGAATACCTTGTTTTGTATAACGGGTTCTTCGTCATATTTTTCATCGAAATTATCATTACAATTATTTATATTTTTACACCTGTTGAAACAATATAATTTTAAAAAATATTATAATCATTTTTGAAAACTGTAACAAAAACACTATAAAAATCTTTACTCGCTATTCCACGTATAAGATGATTCTTTATCCGAATCTTCAAGAAATATTGTCTGAAAATATTGCTTATAAATACTTACAAACATTCGAGCATATTTATTTATTATTTGACCATACACATATAAAATTATCTACAAATTCAGCCCCGATTTCCAGCATATTATAATCTTAAATAATTACCTCTGAATTTTCAAAATACACACTTTCTTTACTGTTCAAAAATTGATTTTTTCTGTTTCTCTTTCTTCGTTTTTCTGAAATTAAGGAAAATATCAATGTAGACTATTAAAACGAAACCTTACAAAATTACTTTATTATTTCTACATACCATCTTTAGGATTTGATAAGTCCATGAACTGTGAATCTGTTTCTGTCGAACAGTTTAAAAACGTCGCATCTTTAGAGAATTCATCGCGATTCGAAGGACTAGAAACTGAAGATTTATGACTGAAAAATAGAGAAGACTCACGAGACAACTGAAAATAAAAGAATTCGTCAACATACAATGCAATAATTTAAGATTTCTGATAGAAACCATAATAAAAAACAATTTAAAGATTAACGTAGGAAATTCTAATATTTGAAAGTAAGACGACTTACTTTTGTTGTTAAATAATATATTAAATTCCTTTTACTTACATGTTTAATTGTATCTAAAGACCCTTCGTACGACTTATTTCTCAACCGATTGTCAATAGATCCTAAAATGACATCGTCAATTTATCCATCAGGTGAACAAATATTAACAAACAACCTACACAAGTATAGAACTACCTTTGTGATCAGTCGAGTACTCGTAGAAATTTTCTTTGCGTTTTGTAGTATTCGTTTCCTGACAATTAAATTTTTTTAAAAAAATTATATAATTTTAGATGAAATGGTAAATTTATATAATCGTGGATGAATATGAAAATATTTCATATCAAAACTTTTGAGAAATTTAGAACTGTAGTTTAAAATGACTCAAAAATCATTAAAATCAAATTACGCTTTTACAGAATAACCAATTTTTTTTCTATAAAATACTTTTTGCAAATAGCTTTTAAAAGCTGAAAACATTTATTATATAAAATTTTCTACCTAGATTTTAATAAATTTTGGCGATTTTGGGTGTGTTTCCTTATTAGCCCGTTAATTTGTTTCTTATTGTTCGAAGGCTCCCACCAGTTTCCCAAATAGATAAAAACCACTGAAAATTGATATTTGGTTATAGGTTCGCGTAGCTAGCCACGGAATTTATCTGGATTATTTTATGTATCATTTAGCCAAAATAGAAGGAGCGAGCGGTCAGGGTGGCAGTCTTGCTCTCTGGGAAATCCGGCTTCGAATTCGCACGGGTCGAAAAAATCCCCAGGAATTTTTGCGGTGTTCAGACCGGATACGTTGGCCCCTTCCCTCACCACTCGGTCGCCCCATTGTGGGCCTGGCCGAACCCATAATAGCCTTGCTAAAAAAAGAGGCCCACTTAGTCCCCACAGGGCGAAAAGAGTTTAAAAAATTACAAAATAGAGGCGAGTTTTCCCACACAAAATGGCCTTTATTTTGGCTAATAGCTTTATCGAGCTTATCTTGGCCGAACCCACGATAAGCTTGATTTTAAAAAAGGCTCTTAATTAACATTAGTTCCCACAGGGCGAAAGAGTAAAGAAAAAAATCAACCTAGACGTTAAGCGGATTTAAATGTTTTCTAATTACTACAGTTTCTCATTATTAAATATTCCCAGCTCACTTATAAAATCAACTTGTAAACATACCATTTTTTGCCTACAACGTATTCAATGTTTTAACTTCGAATAATTGTTCAAAATCAACGATTAAGAAGTCACAATAACTATTCGAATATTTTCTTTGTCACGCGAACTATTTAAAATTTAAACTGGTAGAATGAGAATTTTTTATTTATAATTATATTTAGTGAAATCTATTATTTATTTTCCATTTTGTTTCAGCTGTCTTGAGTTTTTGGAGTTAAGTTATATCTCCACAGACCACCTATAAGTAATAGACTGGCAAAGTAGGTATTCCTTGAAGTCGCCATTGTCCTTGGCGGCCATCGCTATGACAGGCAAAAAGCTGCATGTCCCGCTTATATAAACCGAGCAATTTATTTGTTGTTTTTTCGTTCCAAAACTGCGGGAATACTTGCTTTTATAAGTATTTGTATTTCAATGTATTATTGCTATTATAGCTTATGTTACTGAAAGGTGTTTATGTCAAATCGTCAGAATGGTTTATTAATCACTGTCACAAGGTTTATTTTTAAATTCCTGTTTTTCTGCTAAAGCAAATAATTCAAATTATATGCTGTAATCTATAATGAGGATGTTTGTTTGTTCGTTCGCTATGCACAACTAGGCCGTTCGACCAATTGCTACGAAACTCAACAGTTACGTTCCAATACTTGTAATTTAGATCGTGTCTTAGATACTACCTCAAATTATCGATTGGATTTCTATATATCGATTAATTTCTGTCAACATTCGATTGCTGGCTTTACATGTAGCTCCATCTGTTGGGAAAAATTTAACAAATTAATTAAATATACTCTTACAAAAATTATATATATTATATTCACTGAATTACTGAGACAGCACTTGCCTGCTTGGAGTGTGTTTTGCCCCCGTAAATCATACTTTTCCTCTTAGCGATAGAATCGTGCCGGTTA